CTGGGTGCAAGACGAGTCAACTACTGCCGCTGAGAAGGTCCGACGACGGGACAAGAATGGCGTGCTGCTGGAGGGCAAGATCATTGACACCAAGGACCGCTTCTATGAGTTCGATGGAAGGAGGAAGCACGCCACCGAGGAATGGGCCGGCGACAGATGGTGCCTAACTTGTTTCTCTTCCCGCGGCTTCAAAAAGATGGAGACCGACGAACGTGATCGACTACGAGCCCTACGTTTTCCTTTGCGGACCATCTTCCAAGGAGGCTCAACAGAGCGCGGCGTCGACGACACCGAAGTGGGCTACCGTCCCTCGAGGAGTATGGAAGAACGCGAAGAGGTTGGTGGCCTTGGCTACATGGTCGGCAATGGTGGCGACGGCTTGTGCTACTACGGAGTTTCCCCTGACGAAGGGAAAGGATGCGGTGGCTATGTTCGAGATTGGCGGGAACGAGAAGACCCTGGACCTCTGCGACTCCGAGTTCCTCCTTGCCGAGCCCCTTGTCCAAGAGGACTTTGCCGCTGAGGAGATTTGGGAAGCAGCTATCGGTGTTGTGCGCGATCTTACGCCGGGCACTTTGTGGATACATGGAGAGTCGGCCGCTCCCTACCTCGAGAAGGTGTGTGAAGTTGCCCATGAACAGCTCCGATCCGGACGACAGGTGGTTATCCAAGCTCCTGTCGTCGACCACGACTTTTGGACCACACCGGCAATCGAAGAGCTGTACCAGAACGCCACCTACAACTACTACGAGGAGGCTGGCGAGACGCGGCTGTTGCGCCTGAACTATTGTGGCCATCAACATGAAGTCCTCGTGGTTGACCAGACCGGCCGCAGGCCACCAGGCGAGGATGAAGGAGACCTCCCCATCGGGAGCCGAGCAATATCTTTCTCTTCCGGCCCCCGAATCAAGCCCGAAGTACAAAGTGCTCTGAAGCGTCTGCACCAGAACCTGGGCCACGTCGGAGCCGAAGACCTCAGCCGACATCTTCGCCTTGCGGGAGCTGGTCCAGAAGTGGTTGGTGCGGCCAAACGACTTCAGTGTGAGGTCTGCGCCCGCAACAAAAGAGGAAAGGCCGCGAGACCGTGGTCGACTCCTACGCTGTTGGAGTTCAACCAGGTGGTGGCCGTCGATGCCTTTTCGGCCTATGACTCCTGGGGAAAACGCTACGAGTTCATCTCGGTATTGGATTGCGGAACTTCTTTCCATGTCGTGTTCCCCCTTAGTGGTCACAGCACGGCGTCCATGGAGAAGGACTTCTGCGTCGCCTGGAGCCATGTATTTGGCCCTCCTGGAACTCTTGCACTGGACCTTGAGTCCGGGCTCCAAGCTGGCTTTGCGAGGTATAGCGAGTTCTACGGTGTCAAGATCCGCTCCGCTGCCGGACAGGCGCATTGGCAACAAGGGAGCGTCGAACGCCACAACCGGCTTTGGAAAGAGATATGGGATCGGGTTGTCGATGACCACTCGGTCACTGAGAATGAGGTCCACCTTGCAGTCACGGCCGTGAACAGCGCCGTGAACGAGCTGCGAAGAAAGAATGGTTTCAGCCCGAGCCAGGCCGTATGGGGAAAGGACCCTGAAATGCCAGGCGAGCTACTCGGGAGCAAGGACCTCGAGCAGTTCGACCACCTCATTTCCCGTGACCACCAACGAGCCCGAGAGCATGCACTACGTACGGCTGCCAAGGAGACGTTTTTCCGATGCCAGACTGACGACAAGCTCCGTCGAGCTCTCCTACAAAGGAGCCGTGTCTCAGGGCCCGACCTCGCCGTCGGAGACTTCGTCTTCTTCTACCGAAAGGCCAAGAATCAGAAGTTCTGGCAGTGGCATGGTCCAGCGACGGTGATTGGCCACGCAGGGGCGAACGTCTGGGTGTCACGCGGCGGGCGCTGCCACCTGGTGGCTCCAGAACATTTGCGTCGGGCGACCAGCGAGGAGCTGGGTGACGCTTTCACTTCGCGCACTACTCGCGATGATCTCGAAAAGCTCCTCGAGCTGGATCCAGACGAGATTGTCTATGACGATGAGGTGGAAGGGCACGAGTCTGGCCCCGAACTCCCGCCTGGAGATCAAGAGGGCGACCCACGTGACCTAGCTGCTGCACAAGGACGAGTACGTGATGGAGATCATCTTGGTGCTGGTCCTTCTGTCCGAAAGCGGTACAGGGTTAAGGGTCCCCAAGACGGCCCTGGACATCAGCTTCCACTTCGTCCTGAGGACGATGATGATGGCGTGGATGAGGCGGAGCAGCACGACGTCCCTCCCCGGGAAGCTCCAGATGAGGCAATGATGCTGCGCCGAGCAGTGACAGCGAGGGGAAAGGAGAAACAGCTTGAGAAGGAGCTCCCCTGGTCAATGATTCCCGTGGAGCAGCGAGAGGCTTTCAAGCAAGCCGAGCTCAAACAGTACTGCGAACATCTTGATCATGACGCATTGGAGCCTCTCTCCATTGAAGAAAGCCTCCGCATCAAAGCCGAAAAGAAGGACCGCATACTGACCTCTCGGTATGCATACCGCGACAAGGCTTTGGCGAAGAGGCGAAAGGACCCAACCGTCCCTTGGAAACACAAGGCTCGCTTGGTGATCGGTGGTCACAACGACCCCGACATCGGGCAAGGGCTCAATACCACGGCCCCGACGGTGTCCAGGCAGTCCATCATGTTTCTCCTGCAGATCCTCACTTCCCGACTCCATCTCGGATGGGAAGCCCACGCCGGTGACATCACTGCTGCCTTTCTCAACGGAGGCCCTCTACAACGAGAACTATATCTTCAACAACCGCGCACCGGACTCGGAGATCTACATCCTGACCAGCTTCCACGCATCAAGAAGGGCGTCTTCGGACTCGTCGACTCACCACATGGATGGTGGGAACGCTTCAAGGAAGAGGCCACGGGGCTACGCCCTGAGACTGAGGACGGGAAAAGGTTCGTGGTGGAGCAGTCGCCCCTCGACCCTTGCGTGTTCTTTGTCAAGGAGCGCCTTGGCTTTGAC